ATCAACTTCATAATAACCATCCACATGATACGGTCCGAATTTGGCTTCGCCATAATTTAACGCATGTTGAACGTCGACGTTTCTGCTAGCTTTAATGTATTCGAGCCATTGGATGGAAGGATTTGAGTAAACTTTGTACTGATCGATATAAGCATTTTTGTGTTGTTACATCCGAACGGGTCCACGTTTGTACACTCGATATTTCATGCAAGCCTCACGTAACAAAACAACATCGTTCTTGCAATACATCCCGAGTTGTTTTTTGAAGTCAAACACCTCCCCCGCTACGCTCTTGTACCACGAGTCAAATTTCTGGTAGCCATAATGTTCTTTACACGGATACGGTCCTAAATAATTCACATTCTGCGAACGGGTAAAATGATGGGGAAAGTAGCCTTTTTCGCTGGTGTTTAAGTATAAAGCAGATGTTATTTTTGAGAATTTAATAGGCAAGAAGCTATAACTGTCAATGTATCTCTGTTTAAATGCCTGATCGTACATATAAACAAGTCTACATCCTTGGAGTATAATTTTTGGCGTTAAGCCCTGACTTGTGAAATACTCGAGCAATATAAAAGAATCAAAACCCGAAGAATTGTGTGCGATAAATGTAAAATCAGCAAATTTTTGACGTCTGAAATGATTGACCATAAGGTCCATGCAGTCGATTACCTTCGGCTGTGAATTCTTCACCAGATTGCGAAACTGCACATATGTAATTAGCGGTATGCTTACCATTTTCGTACATTGTTTCAAAGTCAGTATAAATGTAGGCTTGGCTATGTTCGGCAGGTTTGACAGGTTGAATATAGCAACTGTGACCCCCTTCATCTATCAGAACATCGCCACAATGCACACATCTCGATGGTGCACATTTGTGTGCTAAGTTTATCATCTGACCATTTTGCTCTGTATTGTCTGTAACATTTGTCGCAGTATTTTACGAGATCGCACTGAGATCTCACCCCTTCACATTGTGGTTGTTTATGCATATCATAACAGAAGTCAGATCTGCAATATCTCAAACAATCAGTGCATTGTACAGATTTCTTAGGATGTGTGTAGCACTGAGTGTCGTTGCACACGTTGCA